CTATACAAGAGGACACGAACCACTGAACTACAGACCAGCGTCATGGACATTCATTCCTACAAGGTCCCGGAGCAACTCATCACAACACTTACTAAATCTAATATATATCTGGCCACCAACGTGGCTTTAGTGAAGGTAGGTCGTCAAACTAATCTTAAAAGAGCTCTACGACCAATGCCAGTGATACAACAGAAGAGACAAGGGCCGACTCTTAATGCCTTGATTGCAGAAAGCGTTTGATTCCGTCCCGCACAAGTGGCTCCTATATAAACGTCAGAACGCTCGTAATTGGACAAGTACTGCGGGGAGGCGAGGGAGTACCTCTCGGGTAGAAAGCAAAGGAAAGCGTCGAAAGTAAGATTCAGTACAAGATTTGGCTGAACAAAGGAGCAGGGATAGAGATGCACCCTACTCACCAGGATGCAATAAAGAACCTTGTGGGCTTTCAGGTGATTTGGCCAACACTCCAAATACGAGTAATTACCAACAGACCCAAAAGCACCTAAGCCCAGTTATGCACATAATATATATTAATTTACATTTGAGAAAATAGTTTTTGTTTAATTAAACGAAAACATTTTGTATGGACCTTTGGGGTCGGCCGTAGCCTGGACGAGCTTGGTCTAGGATGGGTTGTCCTATCTCAGTCAAGCATAATAGCTCAAGCACCATGAATGTCCTAGTAATGGGGCCCGAGCCACTACCACAGAGAGGCTCAAGTTAATTTATCGAGACATTAAGATACATATCAAGATAACAGTAGCTTAGGCTATTTAAACCCTCCTTATAGCGAAGTCAACGTTTGTGAAGTGAGAGCAGGTAGTACACAGCACCGCTCCTGTGCCAGGTAAGTCTACTACGGGCTCACCATAGCCCGTGCTACTTGGAACTTGTTCCGAGTAGCTGAATCTATAACAACAACAACGAGAGCAGGTAAGGTGGCCGTGCTGGGGATCTCCACAACATTCCCCAGGGATAACGTACAGGGCGGCCACTAGTTACTGGACGCCACGCTCACTCAACCTACCCAAGAGTCCCGGGCAAGCAACGTGTATTTAATAAAGCGCGCCAACATGCTAATTTCCCGCATCACTGGTAATTGTACCTCTTAACGATCTGCTTGTTTGGTTCACGCGGGTGGTGGTGGTTTTAGATTTAGCTCCTGGGAACCAAAAGTTGCAAGTAGCACGGGCTATGGTGAGCCCGTAGTGGACTTACCTGGCACAGGAGCGGGGCTGTGACTGGCTATGTGGGTGGGGCACCAGGCGCTCAACACACATCTCCATTTCCATTATACGAGAATTGTTTTTCCTGCCTATGGCTCAGCCTTGATGGGGGGCAGTGCAGTGTCTTGAGTTAAATCTAGAACTACGTTGTGTGCTAACCAAGTCTAGATATAGACTGGACTAGACTTTCTAGAGATAATGAAGACTTGGTTGATATAGCTGATACTAGTTACTAGCTAATCTAGTTTCTTACGTGTTGATATAAACACTTAAACAGCTAGAATTAAATACTGTTGTTGTTGTTGTTGTTTTAGATTTAGCTACTCAGAACGAAATGTCCATGTAGCACAGACCCGTGAATTAAATACTCTCACTTTAAGCCAACAATGCGATAGTACCCAGGTTGACCACCAGGGGGCACACCAGTAGTTGGGGGGGGGGGGTTATCTTAGCAAGGAACTAATAATGTCAACCCCCAACCTCCCACTGTACACAAAGCTTTCATTGTAAAGTTACAATAACGTCACTGAGAACAAATAACCCAACCCACTCGTGTAAAGTTTAAGTAACTCTACCTATCCTGGACCTTTATCTAGTCCTCCTCCCTTCTCTAGTCCATCCATTTGGGCTGGTCGGCACAAATAAAGTCCAGAACTGGTCGACACAACTAAGACTCGGTAGCTTCAACGTTCATTCCTGATGCTCCAAGAGGTAATCTTGAGATGATTTCGGGGCTTTTTAGTGTCCCCGCGGCATTGTTTTGCCCCCACTGCCCATTGTTTCTCGCCGGCGCCCGGGATCGAACCAGGGCCCACAGGATCACAAGTCCAGCGTGCTGTCCGCTCGGCCGACCGGCTCCGAGGTTGGGCAACATTCCTTCACACACCCGTCCCACGTATTCCATCCCACTGTCCCAATAACCCCTCCCAACTGCTATATAATCATACTGACTTTCCGCCTTCTGATAATTACCATACTTTATTCATAAAGGAAATTATCACTTCAAGTGTGTAGGGTGGTCGAAGATCTAACCCCCCCACCTCGATACAACCACAAAGATGCCAAAAACATATATTGTGCCGAGATAAAACACGACATCAGTTCCGGTGGTGGTCGTCTGCACCATCATCTGCCTCCTGGCAATATTGTCCTCAATCCGAGCTGAGCAAACATGACGTGTTGACAACACTTTAGTTTACACGAGGGGTTTTGGCCACTCAAACTGGCTCCATCTTTGTGAAATAATGTTTTATGAACAAGAGGAATATCACCACTGGTGCAATTGTGGGGGACCCATTGCCTTGGCGAGGGAAATACAGAGCATTTATTTCCTTTCTTAGATCAGCATTACCTTGTGATAATTTCAGGGCTCAACGTCCCCACGACCCAGTTCTTTACCAGGCCTCTTGGTTGCTGGACTGGTCAACCAGACTTTTGGACGCGGCTGCTCGCAGCCTGACGTATGAGTCACAGCCTGGTTGATCGGGTATCTTTTATCAAAGTTCTCTCTTGAGTACTGAGAGGTCGGTCAGTTATGCCCCTTCTGTGTAGTGTAAACGTGTTGAACAGTCTAGGGACTCTGATGTTGATAGAGTTCTCTCTCAGAGTACCTATTGCACCTCTGGTTTTCAACGAGGGTATTTATTCTGCACATCCTGCCATGCCTCCTGGTCTCATGTGGTGTTATTTCTGTGTGCAGGTTTGGGACCAGCCCCATCTAATATTGGAATATATATTTGAATAATTTTTTTAGCATACTTATATCAGCGTTTTGGATCATTGTTGCTCACTCACACACACAAATATATATATAGACGTGTGTGTAAATCACGAAAAATAAAACACGTGATTAAAAATGTGACAGTGTCAGATAACGGAGGAAATTCCTGTTTCAATTTTCCTCCGTGGTCTGACACTGTCAATATATATATATATATATATATATATATATATATATATATATATATATATATATATATATATATATATATATATATATATATATATATATATATATATATATATATATATATATATATATATATATATATATATATATATATATATATATATATATATATATATATATATATATATATATATATATATATATATATATATATATATATATATATATATATATATATATATATATATATATATATATATATATATATATATATATATATATAATATATATATATATATATATATATATATATATATATATATATATATATATATATATATATATATATATATATATATATATATATATATATATATATATATATATATATATATATATATATATATATATATATATATATATATATATATATATATATATATATATATATATATATATATATATATATATATATATATATATATATATATATATATATATAAAATGTGTGTATGTATATAATAATAATCTGTGGCATGCACGTAGTTGACACGATACAAGAGGCGGGTTACAACCAGCAGAGTTGATGCGTCACAATGACACCCCCCAAACAATGGAACCCACAATAATGGTAGCGGAACTGGGCCACACGCTGCAAATATTGCCAAGTTATAACATTCCAAATGCTCAACACACAAATGTTTCAAGAATTTCTGGAGTGAGAGAAAAAATCGAGCCCCCCCTTATCAAAATTTAAATTTTGCCCCGAGGGGCGAGTTTATTGGGCAGCGCCACTCATCTTGTGAGTGGACACACCGCCATAGCAGCATGTACAACACTCCCCAATAGGAAGAAAACCCGCTGGGTTGTTCATCCTGTCCCCCTTATCATTCATCTTGGTGCTTCACGATGCAAATTCAAAAATATGAACGCGAGATCGACTGTAATTATACTGTAGTAGTTTATAAGGTCATTGATCCTGACATAATTCGTGGAATTTAATAATCAACTTAAAGCCTAATGTTTATTCAGATTTTATTGATAAGGGGTTCATCTGATTCCATTAAGCTGGGTCCAAATCGTGTTTGACTTACCAAAATGTAGTGTAATTACATCTTATATATTAGTAATAGTAATGTCGTCTCTCAGACATTAGGATAAAAACCCACAGTTGTGTATATGTGAAATTTACGTAAGCAATTTACACAGTCTTTCACACTCTCCTGAGTGTTTTATCAAGGTCTGAGTGTGAGATTAGGACCAGACTTACATCTCAACATCTAATGAATTGACTATTAGACGCTAAGATGCAAGTCTCGTCCTAATCACACATTCAGACCTTGAGAAAGCACTCGGGAGAACGCTAAAGACTTACTGTAAATTCCTTACACCAATTTCACAAATCCACAAGTGTGGGGTTTTTATATTATCTTATATATTTTTACATATTTACGAGTGGTTTACAATATTGGTTTACAATGATATGGTCTATTTAAAAACAAGACAAGAAATTTGCGCTACGCCAAGTTATTGCCACCCATAACATGTGCAGCAAGAACAAATTAACAACAACAAAATATATTAACAACTTCAAGCTTAAAAGAAGCAAAACACTTCACTTATTTCCACAAAAACAAAAGGGGGTTTCTTTTCTAAGACGGAAAACTTCCCATGTCAAGACACTTGCACATACTCGTCAATTTATGTCCCCCAGTTATAAATTAATTTTCATTTAGGCAGCCATTGACGTCGCTTGCACTTTGCTTAGTATAACATTAACATAAAGGCAGTTTCATACAGTATCCATCCAAACACCTGTCTACACGAACACTTTCATCTGTAAGATTTCTAAAGACGAAACATACATTTGACAATTAAGGGAGGATGCAGCACGAAGAGCGAACACGACCAGCACCACTAAGTACAGTTGATTGGTACAGGCAGAACGGACAGGGCGGGGAGCGACTGTACTCGCCCGTCAGCGGTCAGAGAGCAACTGCGGGAGGATGCGCCGGGAGCACCCAAGCCACCTCACCCCGCCCCGCCCCGCCCCAGTTACCTCCTTCACCGTCACCTGTCCCTGCCACACACAACTTGAAGATTAAGCCACCCCAAGAGGTGGCACGGGCATGAATAGCCCCTAAAGGCTAGACATAGGTGTGTGTATATCACGAAAATAAAACACGTGATTAAAAATGTGACAGTGTCAGTCCACGGAGGAAAATTGAAACAGGAATTTCCTTAAGTACTTTCCTATATTAATACATCTTCAGAAGAAATCTGATGAAGGAGTCTCTTCAGAAGGACATAGATGATTGATTAAGATTAAGCCACCCAAGAGGTGGCACGGGCATGAATAGCTCCTAAAGGCTATGATTGATTGACATAGCATAGGGCAAGAATAGATCATAAAGGCTAGACATAAATTGATTAATTAAGATTAAGCCACCCAAAAGGTGGCACGGGCAAGAATAACCCGTAAGCCAGACATAGGTTGTTTTAGATTCAGCTACTCTGAACAAAAATTTCAAAGTAGCACGGGCTATGGTGAGCCCGTTCTGGACTTGCCTAGCATAGGAGCGGAGCTGTAACTTTTTTTTTCCCCCAGACATAGGAGATCCTGTGGAATATACACACTCCCACAAGGAATTTACCTCATCTTGCGGGATACTCATGCCCGTGCCATCTCTTGGAGTAGCTTAATCTTAAAATCAATTTACCTGGCATCTTTACCCGAGGGTCACCATCTTTATAGGCCTCTAAGGAGACAAAGCCTGATACATATCAACGACATGTATCTCATCCTCATCTCCAAGTTTTACACAGACTAAATGATACTTTATTGTTGGTCAATAAGCTCATGATTGTATTTATAATTTGTATAAATGCGCCAAATTATAACATGTAATAAATGTATTAGTTATTATCATAAATAACCATCAGAGTACCACCCATCTTTGAGAAGGAAGATACCACCTTAAAGAACAGGACATTTTAACCCAACTAGTAGCCTATATGATAGATCACTGGTGATATCTCCTCAGTGTTTTTCTTCTCAGGAATAACCTCATTTACAAATTAACGTCGATATGAACAAATGCAGTGTCTGGGATGCTCCCGGACGCAGGTTCGAATCCTCGTCACGGCCCTTGTGAATTTGTTCATTTGATGCATCACGTTAGTGTGATCTCTGTGTGTGATAACGTCGATATGTAATTGCCACATATCCTGAATATTTGTACAATATACGGGGGGGGGGGGTAGAAATAGCCTAAGCTACTCTATCCCTTTGAGATGTATTTCTTTCTTGTCTCAATTAACATACTTGAACTTGTACAATATTTGTACATATTCAGATGGTCGGATCGCATAGGAAAGGTTCCATTCTCGCAGCCTGATAAACATTTAGCACCATTTCCTATTCACCTGATATCTCTGTTCACCTGTCGGTAAATAGGTACCCGGGAATTCGAGAACTGTTGTGGGGTGAATCGTGAAGGAAGGTCAGCCAGCTTAGGCAACTTTGATAGGCATAACAGCCTTCCGATAGTGGGGAAACCAATTATTTAAAGTACTATGAGCTATTGCATTCTAACAAGCCTCTGTTTATCTACCTCTCCACACACTTCTCTCGTTCCTGTTTTAACAAACGCCTCAAGGTTCATCTAGTAATAACAATAATAAATAATAAATAAATAATAAATGAATAATAAATAAATAAAAAATAAATAATAAATTAATAAATAAATAAAAATATTATATATTTATTTATTTTAGAACCTAGGTACTAGCAGCATGATGAGTGTGTTAGTGAGTGGATGTAAACAGCAGAAGGCTCTCCACTCCACAGCCCTGAGACATCACGCTCGTGGGAGAGTGAGAAACACTGACAAATGTACATCCCTAGTTACTCCTCTCGTGAGATGAGATGAGATTCAATTTAACCTCAACCTTGGCAGTGACTGGTCTGAGGTAGTGGTCCTGGTGGTGGAGGATACATAGGGGCTGAGAGTGTAAAGCCAGACACCAAGTTTCAGCCCCGCTCCTGTGCCCAGTAAGTCCACTACGGGCTCACCATAGCCCGTGCTACTTGGAACTTTGTTCCCAGTAGCTGAATCTTAAACAACAAGAGCGACACAGGTGGCGGGTCACTGGCGCCGTCAAGTCGCCTGGTCCTGGGTAAGTAGTTCCACCAGATGCTGGTGACCTGTTCCTCGCGTCTCTCCCGGCAGATTAATTAACTAACAAGGTGTAGGTATAAATCTATGCACATATGTCCCTACAAGATCACGCTTCTTCTCGTTTTTAGATTTAGCTACTCAGAACGGAATGTCCATGTAGCACGGGCTTTAGTGAGTTCGGTTATTCACGATAACCTTGTTATGATCAAGCGTGTAACCTGTTATATATAACACACACACACACACACACACACACACACACACACACACACACACACACACACACACACACACACACACACACACACACACACACTCACTCCACTGGATGTTACGTATACAGCCTTCATGCACCCCTTTCCTGGTGTCTCTGCCCCCCTCCCCGTTATTCATCTGAATTTTGTACAAGGTGGAAAGCTCTCTGCCTGCTAACTGAAGTCAAAAGTCTTCTGTTCTTTTACCCACTCCCTAACACTAAGGGCAGGCTTCAGGTGAGCTGATGTAGGATAACAGCTCTTACTTGCAGTTACACCAAGTTCCTCAATGACATGCTTAATGAACCCAAGTCTTAAATTAAAAAAAAAAAATAAGAGGAGCAACCACAGGGACAGTTGTGGTGATGGTGACATTGGGGGGGGCTGGGGGGGGGGGGAGCGAGGCTTGAGTAAGGGAGCCGGTCGGCCGAGCGGACAGCACACTGGACGTGTGATCCTGTAGTCCCGGGTTCGATCCCGGGCGCCGGCGAGAAACAATGGGCAGAGTTTCTTTAACCCTATGCCCCTGTTACCTAGCAGTAAAATAGGTACCTGGGTGTTAGTCAGCTGTCACGGGCTGCTTCCTGGGGGCGGAGGCCTGGTCGAGGACCGGGCCGCGGGGACACTAAAAGCTCCGAAATCATCTCAAGATAACCTCAAGAAGGTGAAGTCAGTAACAAGTGGGGGGGGGGGGGGAGTGGTCTTGCTTGGAGATGATTGACAAGTGTCATAACACCTGAGCAATCTTGTGAAGCTTCCGCCCTGCCTTACATTAACGTTACAACATCGTTACACTCTACAAGTTCCCTCTGATAATTATGAAATTAACCTTCTGACTTTTCTGAAGCTAAAATTAACCATTCAGATAATTCCACAAGAGGTTTTAACTCGTAATCATAAAACTGTAAACGTGGATCACGGGGGAAGATGTCGACACAATCTTAAGACAAATACCTTCACGAGGAAGTGTGTAGACACCCCCCCCCCCCACCTCCCGTGTTTACAACCAGTTTTTTTTATTATTATTATTTTCTACCACAGACGTGGCCACACATTTACAATGCTAACCAGCATATATACATTTTCTTCTGTCCTCCCAGTGATTACCCACCTGTCGACCAGCCACCTGTTGTTGCTGTTATAGATTCAGCTACTCGGAACAAGTTCCAAGTAGCACGGGCTATGGTGAGCCCGTAGTGGACTTACCTGGCACAGGAGCGGGGCAAGTAGCACGGGCTATGGTGACCCCGTAGTGGACTTACCTGGCACAAGAGCAGGGCAAGTAGCACGGGCTATGGTGAGCCCGTAGTGGAAAAAAGCCCGCCTGAAAGCCACCAGCCACCGAACAGTTGACTATTTATTTAAGTTTCTCCTCACGTTCCCCTAATCCCCCCAAATATACAAAAAGTACCCATCCACCCTCCATCCTCCTTCCCACGACAGTTTATTAACCCCACTTTCTCTCATGCATTATATTAACCTTAAGATCAACAAGGTTAAAAACCTGTTTAGTTTCCAGTTTCTCAGTTTAACCCTCGCGCTAAAAACAAAGTGTGTTATTCTAGCGGGGTTATTGTAGTTAATTAGCGGCGTGTGTCGTAGTGTGTCACCAGAGGCCTCTACGTATGGCTGGTTCCCAGGCATCCACTTCCGGTGTGAGCAGAGACGGTCATTACAACAGAAAGTTGCGGCGACGACTGTTGATCAGCTGTGTGCTACTTCCCACCACCCAGAGTGTGACGACTCGTGGCCCAGGCCTCCCTCCTGGCCTCCCAGCCCTCCCTCCTGGCCTCCCAGCCCTCCCTCCTAGCCTCCCAGCCCTCCCTCCTAGCCTCCCAGCCCTCCCTCCTAGCCTCCCAGCCCTCCCTCCTAGCCTCCCAGCCCTCCCTCCTAGCCTCCCAGCCCTCCCTCCTAGCCTCCCAGCCCTCCCTCCTAGCCTCCCAGCCCTCCCTCCTGGCCTCCCAGCCCTCCCTCCTGGCCTCCCAGCCCTCCCTCCTGGCCTCCCAGCCCTCCCTCCTAGCCTCCCAGCCCTCCCTCCTAGCCTCCCAGCCCTCCCTCCTGGCCTCCCAGCCCTCCCTCTGGCCTCCCAGCCCTCCCTCCTGGCCTCCCAGCCCTCCCTCCTGGCCTCCCAGCCCTCCCTCCTGGCCTCCCAGCCCTCCCTCCTGGCCTCCAACACCAATTCAATACTTGCCATGTCTGGCCATCATGGGAGATCTTCTCAGCTCCCCCCCCCCTCCAGGACCACTGATGAGCACCTCTCCGATGAGCACGACCGAGCTCCAGAGCTCCCCCACCCACATAGTGACCCACACTGGATGGTATTTGTCTAACGTGTTTAACAAAATCATTCCACCCAGTTTGCCACTTTTAAAAACTGTTCCATACGTTGGTGTGGTCCATACAATTCGCTTATTTGTGCTAAATACTGTGGGTGTATTCAACTTGCCAATAATGTTTTTCTTTTCAATTCAAGATTGATTGATTGATGAATAGGCCACCCAAGAGGGGGCATGGGCATGAATAGCCCGTAATTAAGTAAAAAATGCTGTTGAGTTGTTGTTAGATTTATGTTATTATAA